GTAGGGTTTCCATGTCCTTAAGCTGATTTTTCAATTCAGTGAAAGTTGGTCTTGCATCTGGGTCATTCTTCCAGCATTTCATCATGATTTGATACCTGGCATTGTTCAAGTGATCTTTTTGAGATTTAAAGAGCATATCCTTGTACAATGAGAGAGAACGAGGTAACAAAGAAAACTTACAATTTTTCATCGACGTGTTGTGGTTTAGGCATCCTGTATCCATCCTGGAGTAAGTTTGCAATTTTTCTTCCATCCATTCGTGGGTAAGGTGAACCGCCTGGAAGAACCACAAGACCATCGAAATATAAACGTGACGAAAAAAAGACCTTCACTAAAACATCACCTGTGTCAGTTGATGGAGTTTGAGGTTGCATGGGGAAGCATATTACGTTTGTCTAACTGAACACGATACATTGTTTAATTAAGAGCCTCATAAACTTCCTTTCGATGTTACCTATGGTGAAAATCTCGTACAACAAAACTCCATAACTCCATCTGCAGAAAGACAAATCAAACGAATATAAATTAAGTGACTATAGACATAAACAGTATATACGACGAATAAAATAAATGTATTCTTTGACAAAGCATAGAATTCAAGTCCTGACTAAAAATGATAAAACTTGTTGATAAATTGCTACGGTTGATAATCAGGTATACTTACACGTCACTTTTGGTGGTATATTTACCATACAATAAGGCCTCATAAGCTGTCCACTTCACGGGAAGACGGCCCTAAAGATTTTAAATACCACTTTGTGAAACAGCTCGAGAATTATAGGTAGCGACAAGTCAAAAACAGTGATATTTAAAGTTGTACTCGTATACGCATGGATAATATTTTCATTAGGGTCCCAAGGAATTCATGATCGAAATCAGGAATATAGCAGCATTAAAACAACAATGATTGTGAAAGATCACTAAACTGAACAATATGTAATACCGCCCTCACCTCCCCTTTTTCTTGATTACCTTAGTCTTTTGTTCATAAATATTTTCCTGCTGCACATCTCTGGCCATTCCGAAGTCTGTCACTTTACACGTTTCCTTTTGTCCAACTAACACATTACGGGCCGCAAGGTCTCGGTGAATGATCTTGGAAAGAATTGATGCAACAGCAAAAATTAGCGATTGCAGAAGAAAAAGAACTGAAATGAAATGGTTCGGATAGGAAAATAGAAATATCTAGCAACATATGGTGTGCGTATTTCTTTTTCTCCCAGATGGCAGAAAATTAAAACTACTACAATATCTACTCCATATTCCAAAGAGAAGCAAACTACTTTATGTCTGCAATACGTAGTTATTTTAAAGAACGCTTATCTTAAGATTTTAATCGAAATAGGATTCTGTAATGTACCAGTTTGGCAACAAAAGATGAATTTTTTAATTTGAAGTTTTAATTACTTTTCTTCCTTGTCACTAAAATATATATTTGTTGTACACTTAGTTTAGGCTGAATATCTTAAAAGATCCTATTCATTCACGTCTCTCCCTTTGCCTACACGAGAAAAATCCTAATATTTTATTTCACATTGAAATAAGACTTATATGATGACCTCAAAATTGGGAAGGTTCTCGACCTTAAAGAAATAGCCTCAACAAGACGGTAAGGATACGTTTGCAACTCCCGGGCGTGATCTTGAGAAGACATAATATTCTATGCAAGACAGAGCTTAACATGACGATAGACCTTACGAGAAGGTTTCAGAATTGTTTGTCTTTTGTGTTTTTAACTAACTTACAGATTTTGCGGACAAGTAACTCATTCCATCAGCAATTTGCCAAGAAAACCTCATCAGCTGCTGTGACGTCAGATTTGTTTGCGGTTTGATATCCGGGTCTTTGTAATAAGTGTCTTTTAATCCACGGCTCTTTCTCAGGTAACCCAGCAGATCCCCAAAAGGCACATATTCAATCAAAACCAACAGCTCCTCTGAAGAAATTAAACAATTTAGTTAATATATTACTCTCTCTTAAAAAAAAACAATAATTAAAACAAATGAATAGCCCTGTCATTGTCAACACTTTTGAAGAAATCGCATGAAAACAAGAAAAACTATGTGAAGAAGGTACAGACCAATTATTCCCTTACAAAAAGCGTTTCTGCTTATACAACAAAATGATCTGTTCAGTGGCAAATATTCGGTCTTAGTCTATCACTAAATCCAGGAACGTCTGTGTTGGCTAAAACAAGATAAAATTACCTCATGCGATGGTTGTTTGTTGTGCTCAATTAATCATAAGCAAAATGTGTACAGCAAAATTAGACGCGCATAACCAAAGCATACCAGACTCCGTAACACATCCTAGAAGTTTAATGACGTAAGGATGTGGTTTCAGCTGCTTCATTGTGTCAAGTTCTTTCATCAGATCTCTCTTGTCCGATTCAATAGCGTTTGCTGGAGCGTTAAAAACAAGGAGTAAAATTTGGTTAACGGGAATAACGTCGAAATAACAACATAAGTTATGAAAAGACAAATAGCTAAATAATTACGTAAACCCGGTAACATTTCCTGAATGTCTGTAGGCCAAGACTGTCATTCAATATACAGTACAAGAGCTCACTTTTAAGCATCTTAATAGCCACTGTGGTCGTTTCAGGACTCCCTGGAAGTCCTACTGCTGTTCCCTTGGCAACCTGACCAAAAGCACCTTTACCAATGATTTTTTCTATGGTCACGTGATGTCTTGGAACTTCCCAGCAGCGTGTTAACGGAAGGAGAGGCGCGTAATCAGCACCTGTAGCGGTACTTTGTGCTTCTCTATCATCTTTGTTGACTTCTATGAGATCCATGTATTCCGCAGGAGATTGAGTGAGTTTTCTTGAATCTGGCTGACTTGGTGTGATATCTACTAATCCTGTTTCATTCTATTGAACCAACATACCATTGGTTATAAAAATCAGCTTACTCATTTTTATTTGACAAACGTTTATATTCTTTCAAAACAAGAGATGAAAAAAAGTTTATAATCTCTTGTCCCTATTATTGCTAACATTTTTTACTACTAACATTTTGTTCTCTGCTTTTGAAACTATTATGTCCAGTGGAGTGATCGAGACTCATAGCATATTCGCCGAAGCTACAAACTGCAACTTGAAGATTGTCGATTGGTAGTGCAATTTTTGACAAATAAACCCACGAAAAAAACTCCTGCTGTACTCAGCTCTTAAACCCACGTTTAGAAAATGAGGCATCAAGAAAATATGACGGCAATTGTCAATCAATTGTTTAAAAAGCAAATATCAACCGGGAGCAGACCAGTTAACGATCTATGAAGTGACGCCACGCAGTTGAGCCGAGAACAACCTAAGGAAAATCCATGGAGCGGCTTAAAACATGATTCCAGGACAAAGACCTTATCGAGTCAAACTTCCTCCTCTATTTCATTGTATCTGCCGGTGCTTTTTTTTTTTGTAGAACTACACATTTTTTCCTTCTTATTTGCTGCAAGCGTTTATTTTCTTATAGAAAGTAGAGGTAAAGTGAGATTACATAATTTCTGACCACACTAACATGACCTCAATGTCTTAGCTGATACTTACGTCGCAAACACCTCTTTCATCTTCATAATTTCTAAAATTGAGAAAGCATAGAAATAATTATGAAACGCTAAGAATTTCATCAGTTTTGATTGGAATTTTTTATTAAGATGAAACCATATCTGGTACATTACATCGACACAATCCAGCTGGCAGCAAATTCTTACCTCTGTTTCCCTACAGCGCCTGAAAAAGAACGAAAGGACTAAAAGACCAGTGATGTGGATGTGGGTCAAAATTTGCTTTTGCTTAATAATGAATCTTGCAGCCAAACATAGATTATGATTTTTTACCTACCTTTCTTATGTAGCCAGATTATGTAAATAATTAGAAGAAGGACTGTGAGGGCAAGAACCCCAATTATGGCCAACAAGACGTTGTTAGATGGGCAGTTACATTCCTCAGGACCTAAAAAAGATTCATTTTACAAAGCTTGATGAAATAACATTCAAACAACATTTACACTGATCCTGATCGATACACTGCTCTCACCACATAGCATAGGTTCGTGACCGGAAAACGTTAACTCTAAGATTTTTTTTAATGAAATAAAACAACGACAAAAACAAAAACCTAGAAATGCATCAGTCACAGAATAAGTTGTTTAATTAAACAGATACGGAATACAATCATAAACAGTCCATCTTCGGAACAATACGTGTAAACATTTAACAATTTCTTTCTAAAATTTACCTTTTGTTGTGCTTTCCGAGCCATCTGTGGGTATTAAAACTTGTTTAATCGAGTCTGGATTGACTTTAAAACCTTCGAATTTGTCTTGCCTCGCAGCATCCGACAGGACAATCAAAACATTGCTGACGACTACACTTTGATTGAACCTCATCATGAAGTCAAGAACAACACTGCCACACCTAGATAAGGAGGGGGGGGGGGGAGGTGAGCAAAGAGTATCATCACACATATTTGTACTTTGGTGACTTTTAAGTGTTAAAATACATTGAGATTTAACCAATGTAATAAACCAAGGTAAATAAAATTAATTCATGTCATTCTGTGCCGATATATTGCTGTTCATTAAAGGAAATGTACTTCAAATGTAAATTATCTCGCATTATATAGGATTTGCTGGAGCAGAAAAACCAGTTTTACCGCTAAAATACAACACATTAAGATAAAGCTCCTCCCCCCTCCCAGAACGCAAATTTGCGTTTGCGTTTGTTGTTTCAGTGTAAAACAACAACCTGTACCTTACCTGGTGTTCACAGTGTTGGCGGATGAGCAGCCAAACCTCAAGGCAATTTGACAAGCCTAAAACGACATATCAAGAAAAAAACGTACATTCAAATGCTTGTCACATATTGAAGATCGTTCAGAATATCTTATTTTTTTAACAGAAATATTAAGATTTAATTCAAGAACAGATTGATTAAGATTCAATTTTTATGATAAATCTCATGGCAGTATTCCTTAAACTCCAGTATATGGATCAAGTAGATTATCTAACCATTTCTGGAAATTTCGCAGCAACTTCTGAACGTCTGCTACAGTTCTCCTGTATTGTCGCTGTCAGGTAAACTTCTGTGCTTACTGTTTGAACTGGGGAAAAACAAAATACGACTTAAAATGAACGTTTGTTTGTTTGTTTGTTTGCACAAGAATTATCATTTGAACTTATGTATAAAAAACAACCTTTACTTACAAAGAACACTGGCATCAAATGTACGAATGGGAGGCCAATTTGAGAGATATTGTTTTTCTTGTATTTTGCGTCACGATGGTGTCTTCAGAATCGTTCCCCTAGTCGTCTTCCTTTTCGCCGAAGTATAACTTTTTGAAATAACCGCAAGTTATGAAATAGATGACATTGGTAGAGCCAGTCTTAACATTATGCTGACCAAACAGTTGTCCGTTTTACGCAAAAATAATATACCAGTTTTTGGATCATTTTGAAGTAATTTAAATTTGTTAGAAGGACAGGTCTTACTGCGTGATTGTGCCGCTAAAATGGAATACGATCATTCTCTTTCTTCTGCGCCGTTTGTAGAATGCCGACTTTCGATCCGTTGTTAAAGATTCCCTTGAATGACAAAAGTAGGATGGCCACGGTTTTTTGAAGAACTGGCATATTGCCTCTGATTTCTTGGAAAATCAGAACTGTCAATGTCTAGGCGATGAAGCCTAAGACACTGAGAATAAGGAATGGTATTCTTGACATGTAATGGATTTGAGGATGACAAAACTATGAGACTCCGTGGGTCTGTAGCACATCCACTAATGCATAGACTGTTATCTGCTAACTTTGACTTCTAGAGAAGCCAAAGGGCTGTCAGAAATTTCCCAGATCTATTTTAGAGCTGGATGAAAGTACCTCTCTGGTGGAAAAAGTAGCGCTGATACAGTGATCAACGTAGCGACCTCAGATTCCAGCCCCCTATTAACGCCTGGTGGATGACTCTATCTCTTTGTAATATATTTGCATGTCAAGGGTCGATTCCCTGTCATTATAAATAAGTCCCGTCTAGGAATATAATTTTTGAATTCGATATTATTCACACAGCCATCAGCTGGGAGTGTAATTGCTGCCGTTCCTGAAGATTCTTAAGATTAACTGCTGTTTCGATTCTTTCTGAATCTCTTTAGTTGCCTCCTAATAACGATTTGGTCGCAGAAGAATGACGGGAGCCCAAAGGTTCTTCAACACTTTTTAACTTTCCTTTTTACTGAACGAAGGAGCGGCAACAGACGGTGAATTCCCATGTCATACATTTCTCGCTATTCTCTCTTCCATCAAGAGATGTTCACTCGACTGCGACAAGATGCAAATGACTTAAGCCCCGTTCAAACGATTATGAACGTTAATGATAGACAACTGAATGATAGTTTCAACTTTCATTCACATCACTGACTATCAAGTTTGTGTTCAAACGGTTCATAATAGTCAATGATAATTGACAAAATACCACCCAATGAGATCGCGTAATTGTACACAAGTATGATGCGAGCTGAGGTCAGAAATTTCAGTGGCATTGAAATTTTAGTCAAGAAGTTAGAAGCTGAAGATACTGAAGCCTACCAGGAAATGATGAGAATTAATTACGAGACATTCTGGGAAATTCCAATGCCTATTTTAGTCATTATGTTATATGCCATTTTGGTTTGAGCCCGTTTTGGCAAAACTGCTGACCTAACAATTATCATTCACTATCTTCCTCACGTTCAAACAACAAAAACTATCATTAACTATCATGTCGAATTTGGACATGTCCAAACTACATGATATTTGATGAAATGTGATGATAGAGCATGATAGTTTGTGTTCAAACGCGCTTGATAGTTGAAACTATCGTCAACTATCCTGACCGTTTAAACGGGGCTTCAGTTTTTCTTTTGCGACCATGATGAAAGGCAATCATAGTGCGCACAGGTTCAGGATAAATAATGTTTTCTTTTTCAGATGTCGTGTATGATGTCAGCGTTGGTTAAAATGATATTTCATTGAGCGTTATTGTGAACTTTGGTTTGGGAAAATGAGTCAGAGTTGAAAGAAACGACCGTACGCGACTTCCAGTTAAGAGATTACCGGTCGATTAATAGATGGGTATACGTGAGAACAGTGAGTCAGTGAAACAATACGGCAGAAAAATACGGGCTTCTCCTATATCTTCTCTTAATGTCGCCAGGTATGACTGTTCACTCCACAGTTTTCTCTATTGTGTCAAACTCCTCCGTAATTGTACTAAATTAAAAAGAATAGTCACTTTCAACCTGTTATTTTTTCAATTCTTCTCTTTTGATTATTCAAGCAAATTTCAATGATCATGGCAACTCTAGCCACTGAAATACGAAATTTGTCTTGTATCTGTTTCTTGCGTTGCTAAAGTTTGATTTAAACGAAGACAAGCTAGAACTAGCATATCTCATCTCAAACTTGACAACGAAAAGAGGCCTAAGATTCGACTTAAGAGATGTTTTTAGAAACCTAGAAAGGTTTCAGGTTGGTTAGAGGATGTGAAGCAGCGCAAGGAAAGAGTTTGCAACCCGTGTTTTGAGCGGGAAATCATACCGGTGAGGTTGTAGTTGAAAAGTAATTCTTGGTATTTTGCAATTTCTAATAAACTTGCAAAGCAACGATACTCAGAGCTAAAGCTTTTTCAAACGGAAGAAATTATCATGATTCAAGTTCGTGGAGAAAGGGTCTCGAGTGAAAATAGACTGGAAATAGAGAGAGAGAGCGACCAGAGAGAGAGAGAACTTAAAAGGTGTGGAGCGAGTCGAGAAAAACGCGAAATGGGGTTTGATAGGGTGAAGAATAGGTAGAACACAGCGAGGGGAAGACGATAGAGAACAAGAAAAGGCTAAAGTAAAATGACGAATATCTAACAAAGACCAACGTGAGAAGGTTGAAAGAGCTCCAGAAAACAGACTGAAAAGAGGTCAACAACAAAGAGAAAGCGAACTACGCTTGTAGCGAAAACGAAGATCCCCGAAAACTAAGACCGAAGACCTAAGAAAATAAAGACCTCTTCATGACCTTTAGACTTGAAGTTTGCGTCACGCTCTGTAGCTTCACCAAATAAAACCTGTGAAAAGATTGACAACCTCTCTGGTCGCAGCGTGAGAAAGCGCGATCATACATTATTAATCAAGCTAAAGCGAAATCGCCGACAATAGGCCACTTCTGAGTTCTCGTGGTTCAGTAATCTGGTGTCGAAATTACGGTGCGCAGAGGAGGCTAAGTGCGAAGTAACTTTCATCGGTAAAAGAATGAAGTGCCGTGGTGGTGAAAATGACAAAAGAGTTCTCTGAATTCAGTGTGAGAGAGTGAAATTTTTTGTGGGACAGATGCATCAACTAAGTGATGGCGGCAAAGGAAAGAAAAACGCAGTGAATTTAAATGTAAGAAGATAAAACGAAAGTGTTGCAGACTTCTCTTACCAGATTCAGATCAGCATGTGTCGGTAAACCACTTAAAATATCTGTGTGTGCCAGCCAATGATTAAAATCTCAGTTTATAGATATGCCATATATTTGCAGTTGGCATACAAATATCAACTGTGACGTAAGTAAAATTTTTCTCGTTGATTCAGGTTCTTGCAAGCGAAGAACTCACCCATAAAAACCTCGATGTTGATGACATGGAGAGTGCTTGAAAACAAAGTAAAGAAAAGGATAAACCGTTGAAAGGGGAAAATAAGATTCATTTGAACATACTTTCTTCTGCCTTGACTTGCTGGAAATTTTCATCCTCTTGTTTTAGGCTTTCACCAAGCTCATTAGTTGCAGTAATGGCAAACTGATACACCTTTCCTCTCTCCAATGTTATTTTCAATTCTCTCACAGAAACGTTTTTGATTTTCCTTATTACTGTCCACTGTCCCACTTTTCCATCAGTCACTACTCTTTGGTACACTGTATACATGATAATAACTTTTCCATTACTTTCTGGCTCCTTCCACTTTAAGGTAATTGTATTGTCTGTTGTTTCACCTGGCAGTTCGTCTACTTCCACCACATCCGGGGCTCCTAGATTGATGTCAACGACACGAACGGCGTGAAATTTCTAATAATTATACAATTTCTTGTTACAAACCTGGTCACAACCATTATCAGTGATTAAATAATCTGTAAATTGGTCGAGGATTTTTTGGGATATTTGAGACGAAAGTGTATGGCAAGCAAAATTAAGTTAAATATTGAGATGAATTCAAAATAATTTGAAAGGACAAAAAGTGATAATGAGAAGCCTAACATGATGATCGGTTATTGCCTAAAGCAAATACTGCATTTAGAAGGTGAATTTAACGATACACTGACTTCTACTGGCATTTAACTGCTGTTTACACGCGATCAAATGAAGGACCGATGCATATAAGACGTCGCAATTCATCATTCGTTTGTGTCACGTAGTTACAGAAAGGATCTCAGTTCGTGTGCAACTACTCTCTGCTTTTGAAAAGTTTGACATCGCGCATGACTTAGTACAGGCACTCTGCAATGACGCAGCGGAAAAATGAGTGCGCATTCTCCGCTTCTCGAGCCATTTGAGCGTCCAGGCCTACGATTCTTCTTCTGCAAACATAAGCTGGCGCGGGTTTTTCCGCCGAGACATCAAGCTTTTTTCTTCAGGAGGTTTGCCAACCGAGAAGGCTATGAGAAGAAGCACTAAAGCGAAAACAGATGCGACGAACTTCATTGCCATGTTTCACATGTTCAACTTCAGTTACTAAGTTCACACCTGTTACCACAATAGTTTTTTTGTTGAGTAAGATATGTGCCGTATGTGATTCGAAAGAAACTCTCTTGAAGACGGCAATCTTAATTGTTTTGGTTTGGGCTTATCCCTGCGAAATGAAAATAAGCTATTTTTCATTTTAAAGGAAATATACGGAGGATTCTTTGAGGCCGTCCACACAATGTTTGACGAGATTTCCCCATAATATTTGCATGTTAAAAGCGATTTTCATGAAAGGCCTATTTCTTCAAACTTCAATTCTTTAGTCAAACGATGTGTGGAAATTGTCTCACTGCCTAAGGGTTATTGGGCCTTCTGAATATGGCCGGTACGAGTTTAGGAAAAATGTATCCAACTATCCTAAAGGTCACTATGCAGCGGCTGTTGTTGTTGCTGATTCATATTACAGATTTTGAAACATGAACATCAGAAATTAAATATAACTGGCCATTAAGGAGGGGACAAACGCTGAAAATCGAAAATCTTATAATGCGGCAAGCAGATAACATTGTTAACACTGGGTTACTCACAATAAATCTAAGTTGGCGAAAAAATGATTGGTGTAAAATGCTCACGACATCACTTTTGATTCCTCACCTTCAAACTTGGTCTTAATGTTCCATACAGTAGGATCTCCCTCGAATACAAAATTTCTGGAAAACAGTTTTACTGTGTAGTTGGTATCTTTCTCCAAACCACGAAACGAATAACTACTCGTCCCAGGATCGGTGATATTAACCTTTTTTAACACAGTTTCATCCTTTTGTAAGATCATTTGGAATCCTATAATCTGACTTCCTCCATCATCAGCTGGTGCAGTCCATTGTATTGTTATAGAAGTTGCTTGAATGACTGATTCTGATTTGATGGATGCTTTCCCTGGTTTCTCTACATAGTGCCATAGGAGAAGAGATTACTTTGAGTTTTGTCACAACACTAAGGATGAATGCAAGTCCACGTCTTCTCACAGCTAATTATTCAACTTTCATACACTGTTCGAATTCCGATTTTCTGATTAGATGATTTGTACCACGTGATACTGGATTGTGACGAAACTACCTCCTTGACATCGTCATCGTGCCGTAATGGCCGTGGTGCAAATTCAACACACCGTTGTCATTACACCATGGCTTGGTTTACCTTTTATATAGTGGTTTCACTGCAGTGTTTCTTTGTGCAGTGTGTGAAGTTCAAAGCTCTTTTGTAACGTGTTTAATGCAAAGAAAGGGCAAGGTGTCGACAATTTACTTTAAATATTTTTCACAAATACGGGCACATTTCCAGCTAAAAGATCAGGCTAACTATATCCGGTATAATTCCAGTAATATTCTGTTATACCTCATTGGGGCAACGAAGGCGAAAAATATGTGAAGGTCTAATGCTGCTAAAGAGGGGAAAAATGTGAATGGAACGCTCAGATAAGGCCGTAGGATGTATGTCGAAAACTAAGCGGACAAATTGTTCGTAAATGAAAGAATAATAAATCCCTTACTCGATGGTTTAACATAAGCTTATATTTTTTCCACACACCTATGGGACTTGCAAAATATCCGCACGTATTAAATGTTAAACTATCGAATGAGATGTACAAAGTGAATAAGTTACTCTGTCAAATACTTTGTAAGAAAATTTGGCTTTTACTTCTAATACACCTGAGAAAATGCTGACCTTATATAGAACTTCTTCATATAAAAATACACTGATCTCATTGACTTACTTATCTGAGTTATCTTTATTAATTTCTCATCAGATGGAATAAGTCCATTGGCAGCAATGCACTTGTAATGACCAAAATCTTGATCACCCCTGAGTGGCACTTGTACTTTGTTTTCTCTGGCTGTGACTCTGTTTATTTCACTTCCTTCAGGTTTGTACCAAGAGAGTGTTGGTGTAGGAACACCATCAGAAAGACACTTCAAAGTCACTGGCTGGCCAATCCAAGACTTCTTAGATGACGTGGTGACATTTCGAATCGTGGGCGGGTCTAAGAATAAATGCCAATACAATAAGCAATTGAATGAATAATCGGTGATACTTCATATCAATCAGAACATTAATGATCTTTATCATTCCACTGCTGTGTCATTTTACCAAACAAAATAACGAAAACAGCAAAACATGCCACAGTATTACACTTTAGAACAAGCCAAAAATACGTAGCTACACATTGGCCGCCCTGAACGATCCAAACTTTAATTTTTTTGTTTAATTTTTTAAATTTGACTGCTAAAGTAGCGAACTTTTAAGCAGGAAAGAACACCTTCTACGACCGATACGATACACAGATAAGGCCGTAGGATGTAATTCGCATACTAAAATTAAAACACTGATAACTGAAAATAACAGTGGAATAATAAATCAATTATTCGAGAGTTTAACACATAATACGAGCGGAAATTTTGCTCATTACTCATATTTTCTCTCGCCTCTCAGGGCTCGGAAAAATTACTTCGCAACCAGAATAAGGTGTATTTATTTTTTTCTTAGAGGGCACGCTAACGAATCCCGCAATCTGATGGTTTCTTAGCGCGGTCCGTGTTTTCCTATCCCTGTCTGAGGGCATAGCAACACTTATCGCGAGATGCAGAGTCATCCGTACCTTCGTTGCCATTCTTCATAAATAAATTTCGTTTAGCTAGCTGGGCATTATTTTTTAAGCAAAGCCGTGGCTCACGAAATGGGTTGACTTGCGGCCTAAAAACCGTTTGTAATTAATTTTAATCCTTCACAAAAAGTTAAAACGTGAGGTATTTGTTTTAAATTGAATTAATCAATGGGACTTGCATTGATTCAATAGCGGAGCGCGGAAAACACGCAGCGTAGACTATACTAATTAAAAAAATAATAGTTACAACAGTAACCCATCAAGTCGGAAAAATTTGATCGTACAACCAAAATGAGGGTTGTCCAGTACACCCAAACCGCCACCATTCGTTAAAGACAGTTGGCGAATCGTTCTACCGGAAATCTGATAAACCATCTCTCATTAGATGGAAATGCATACCGGAAGTCAATTTGTAAGACACTTAGAAAATATCGCAAGTAGTTATTAAACGGGGGTTGAAGATGTTGTCAAATCGACTCGATTCGACCGACTCTTCTCAGTTAAAGTCGACCTGTCACACCGGAAGTTGATTTGCAAGGCACTTAGAAAATATTCGGCAAGTAACTACTGAGGGTCGTTGAGAATGTTGTCGAATGAATGACTCGTCTCAGTTGATGTCGACTTAAGACACATGAGTTCAGTTGCGATTAATAGCCGTACTTATCACAATTATTAATCGTGATAGAAGATGTCTTGAGGCTATTAATCGGAAGATATGCCATTTGAGATAAATAATCGTAATTTAAGGACTTCAAGACAAGTAATCGTGAAATTTCACTCCAGAACTAAAAAAATCCGGAAATTTATAAACACCTGTTTACACTAATTGCCAGATTAAGCAACATAGGCTTGAATACTATGGTAAAACAGCTCATAACTTACATTTCTAGAAAGAGCAACCTTTAGTTTCTGTTTTCATAGACATGCAAATTCGTCAAAACTCGAAATCTTCGGTGCCCCTCTTTTGGAACAACTGGCTGCAAGTCCACGGGGTCTTTGAGCAATAATGAACGACTTCATAAAAAGAGGTGTGCGTTAGCGAAGGGGAACATCCATCGGCCTCGAAGTGCAAATCAGAGTCCTGCCTCTCCAGTACCAAAACAATGGGAAAAGTATATTTTCAATCCAAAAACAAGGTGTGGCTCGAATTATTTAGTTCAGCATGTTTTATTTAACCGTTAAGTTCTAGTTTTGTTTCCGGCAAATTATATAGAGAATAATACATGGGCGCGCGTAGATATGGAAAGCTTCATATCTTTCTTTTGGAAGTGTCACGCCAAGTTTATTAGCATCTTTCCCACTCTAAAGAATTTAATTTTCTCCTTTCCCATTTTTCCCTTGCAGCGTGACATGAACAAAATGTACGGGAGCCATTTTAAAATTTGGCGCTCCTACTATAATTACCTCACCCAAGGTGATTAAAGCGAGATATGACGCACTCCTCTACCAATGAGAGTGCGTGCATCTCTATAATCACCCAAGCAATTATACTAAAAACATATATATCAATAGCAGACAGGAGGGTCATAAGTTTCTCGTTTTGAAACATAAATGTTGTTTAGGTTGGTCTTAACAGAGGAAAAACAGTGGATTGTTTTTATACTAGATAGTAACAAGTTCCAAAGTTCAGCATTTCTAATGAAATATGATTTCCTGTAATAATCTTGATTATGTCCGTAGATTAAGTTATCATCATTAATGTCAAATTTACGTGTACGATGATATGGCTCAAAGTATGCAAGTACATGTATTCCTTACATCGATAGATGTTAGACCATTCCAGGACTTAAAAATAGAAGCAGGTCTGACATCCCTCGACAAAAATCACGAGGCGGTAGTGGAAATTACTGTTTTAACTCACTTTCTGTTGTAAAGAGGCAGATATTGAATATGGCTTGTTAAAAAGGTTGTCACAGAGCATCAGTAACAATAGACTTGTACTTGCACAAGTGCAACCCTGATACCAAAATGATTGGTGGGAGCAACAAACCCTTATGCTGCGATCTCGTTGCAATTGGCTTGGGCGAAATGGCATTTCTGGATATTTACGTCGTTTTTGTTTGCTTGTTTTTTTTTTTCTTTACAGGAAATGTTTTAGATATGTGGTATAATCCAAGAAAGCATGTCTGGTCATTTTGATGGGTGAGTTCAAAATCTAGAGATTAGCACAACGTCCATGCTTGCTTTTTACCTGCTCCTAACAACAGAGGTCAAATGCCTGCGCATATGCAAACGCGGAACAATGAATGAGTTGCCAGTCATCGGATTCTTGCGTTTGCGCACAGATATCTGGGATCGTCACGTGGCAGATATTGTAACCCGCTATAAAGGAACGTATGGCGAAAGGTTTGTTTGGACGTCCAAAAAATGCGATTTTGGTAAGAGATTATGGCTTTTTCGCAGCAGTTTTATCATACGTGGTGAAAGATAATGCTGTTACCTTGGAAGTTAAGGCTTTTGCTGGAATTAACACGGAATATATTATAAAAATACAGAAAACTTCTCTCCTTACGTAAGGTCTATTGTGAAATCGTCATCGTGTAATGGTCTCAAAGTATTACAAAATTACCCAGAAATCGCTACGAAATAACACTTTTAAAAGTATTTTCAGTTGTATTTATACATGCACGGCCTATTTTTATACTTTCTAACGTATTTGATAGACAAATTACGTTTTAAAATATACTTCTTCAAAGGAGAGAAGTCGTTGTCAGCGGAGATGGAAATTATTTTTACCGAGCTGATGCTCACTGAAAGGATTAAATAGGCGATGAAAAAAAAAACATGAGGAAATCCCCAGTTCAAGTGATAGATTGCTTGAGAAAAATCCAAAGGTCTCTGAGCCGCAATTTTTTCTTCTCGAACTCCCTGAAGGATCTTGTCAGGAAAGCAAGATCACGGGAACTCCGGCAGAAACTGTGGACGTATCATCAGCTGTGCATCGCTCCTTAAGAGACCAATTTGTATCACTCATCGCCACAGAAGAAAGGGTACAGTCTTGAGCCAATCATCAACGCTGATTCGTTCTCATTGATCACAACAAAGAAGTGTAGGTATTTTATCACTTTAATGTACCAGAGTAATATTTAATGCTTCAGCACGCCATTTCAATCTCCTGCTGCCTCAAGGTAGCTTTTATAGCGCTCTTTTGTATTACTAAGCCAAGCTAGAAATAGACTTAACTCACGCACAAAAAAAAAACTGACACGGCTTAGTTGAGTTATTCCTTGGCGATTCATATGGTTTTTCTAAATTTCGAAACCATTACGCAATGTCAAATTCACAATAAACCTTGCGCGTGGAGACAAGTTAATAGGTAGATTTTACTACACATTACATAGTTTTTCAAACAAAACTTACTCTTCCCTTGAATCAGCATTACCCTAGTCCACTTCTGATAAAGGAACGGCGAAAAAACGATAATCTCTCTCTAAAATCTTTTTTTCAGACGTCAGAAAAACCTTTCGCCACACAATTCCTTCCAGTGAGTTGCAATGTTTGCCCCGTGGCGATCCCAGAAATCTATGCGAAAACACAAGGATCCGATTACTGGCAACTCATTCATTAAGTATCTCACAGAGCGGGGCGGCACAGTGCTTGCAGGTTACACAACCTCCTAAACCAGAAAGTCATGGGCATCAATTACAAGAGCGCAGCATTTCTCTTTCCTTTCCCTGTCTTTCGATGAAAACGAAGAATGAAGGTTGTAATCACTCCATAGTAGAGTCCGTCACTTTTGTGTTATTTGACAGTCGAGTATTCAGTATATGGTGGCAAGGCCTACGAATAATGAAATATAAAATGGATTCTCGCCCTCAAATAGTATATCTCTTCGAACGCCACACATGAAAATATGAGCGAAAACCTTGGGCATGTAGTTTTAATTTCAGCCCATTTTCACATTTACCAGCTGATCTCAGCTATCAGTTAAAAAAAGTGTAATTTCGCAGCTTACAGTGAGGATCTTGAACAATTCTCAGCTTTCCATTAAGCCCCAACCAGAGCCCTCACACGGGATAGGAATATGTGATAGCCTTGTGCGCTAGGCAAACAGAGTGAATTTTGGGTGGTGACAATGACTTACAAATGGCTTTAAGCCATTTTCTGAGTTAAAAACAGTCCAACTGAAGCAATGATTTAATGAGAAAATTGTCGCGCCCTCCAGAGCAAAATAACGTAAAAAATGTTTCCACCTATATTTAATTGTGCCAACCAGTACTTGAGACTGATGCACACAAAGCTGAAAAGGATTTGAGGTGGAATTCTGTTTCCTTACACTTTTGAACAGATTCATCAGTTTTGTGTAACTAACCCCAATAACAGGATTCACACTGTAAATAAAGTAAATTCAGAGATAGAAAATTAAGGTTAAAATATACTTACAGTGAACTACAATTGTTGTGTCAACAGAAGTGACTTCCATTGAGTTATTGGCTTGACATGTATATTGTCCTGCATCTGTTCTGTTTATATTATCGAACTTTAAAAACGCAGCTTTCTTCCCTGAACTTTCCAGTTCTCCATTTCTAATCCATGCTACATCCGGCAGTGGTTTCCCAGAAGCTTCACAGGCTATGGTGACAGGGGATCCTTCAATGTAATATTTTCCTCCCAAAGAGATGTTTATAAGTGGTGCCTCTGAAAGGTAAAAGTGATTATATCATTGCTCATATGGCTTAGCAAATTTTACTTGGACTGAGTTTTAAAATTTACCCAATTACAATAAAATAAATAGAGAATAATACATGGGCTCGCATAGATATGGAATTTCTCTTCGAGTGTTTAACTCGATCGCACACGAGTGAGCACAGCGAACGAGTGAGATGTCGAGTTGAAAACGAGAAGAGAAACTCCATATCTACATGCAAGGTGCTGGATTCTAGATTCTACCCCTGCAGATTCCGGATTCCATCTCAAATTACCTTTTTTAACTTTCCTTTTAAACAAAGACCAAATTAAGGAAAATTTAAACTGAAATACAATTTTTATAACACCTCGTGTATGTCACAAATAATTGCAGACTATGACTGAGAAAAGCTTGTTTTCCTCTATGTAACTGGCGATGATATTCGACATTATGAGATAGCGCATAAAACGGTGTTCAACCAACTCAACTGTACTTTAACCTTTGCAAAATCGCGAAAGATCTGCATTTACACGGTAATTTTCCAAGAATAACAGATTCTCTTTTCTATATTTCCTTTTTTCTTTAAAAGGTTAACCAAGTCAAGTCACATTACGTGGCCCGCCGCTACTTTCTTTTCTAGGAAATGTTGTGCGACCCTAAAATCTGGTAATATCTTATTTCATTCGCTCTGAGATAGGATGCTTTATGAAATCTTCAAATTTGTTATTCCGAATGCCAAATATCAAAGAAAGCGGTTTACGTTTAAATGGCGAAAATTCGACTTAGAAATAGACCTCTCCCGGCTCCCTTAGGTATCCATATATAACTTTGTTCAAAGTTTGTCGTAATTGGAAACGTGTGGTCCGTCGCCATGTTGGTGTTCCAAGCAAATACTGTGGGATTTTAACGCTTTTGTTATGTAAATAATTACTTTTGTCACTCCAAATTTGCATACCTATTGACCACGTGAGTGGACTGCACTCTTTTGGACTCCAAACGACGAAATTTTACGAGGTTATTTCGAGCTCTCGTTACCTAAAAAAACAAAATCGCAGGCTCAAGTTTCTGGAGCTCATGGGGATTAGCCCGAACTTTATTGGGAAATAAGGTCTTTGAATCGGAGCAGAAGACTCATTAATAGCTAGTAAGGAACTTTAGCTATGTCAGTATCGAAGTCGATTGGGGGATAGGTCATGATGATTTTGTCAGTGTCTCGGGAGCTGTAATAGTCAAAATTCTCCAGCGTACAAAGTGCGTTCTATATGGTCTGTACGGTCTGCAGCATGACCGTGGTTGTATGGATGCGCATGAAAACCGTTGATACGGATGATATGGATTTTCAGCAAATGGATTTCAGCGGGATTCTGGATTCCAATGCCCAGGGTTCCGGATTCCACAAGCAAAAATTTCCTGTATTCCGGAACACGGATTACAATACCTGGGGCGAATCATTATCACATAACGCTATGCGTGAATAAAAAGTACGAACGAAGCAAAACTGCTCTTATGAAAGCAGCATTTCCTGAAATGTCGCGCGTAACATTTGTATTCAGTTTCAACCTTATACATCAAAAGCTTCGAATCGCTGACCGTTAAAACCGTAAAAACTCACGACCGATAGACGATGTTCAAATTTCGAGATGAAGACAGCGATGTGTTCCGTTTCTATAGGACAGGTATCGACGGAATCAAAATTTTGCTCAAGTTACAGGTCACACCACCTCAAATACAAACGGGATTAATTAATGATTCCTAAACACCGCGCGTTATAAAGACATGAAATTCACTTAATTTATCGTTGTTATGAGTATCCTCAATGCTGATATAAAAAAAAAGGGCAATGGAGGATCAAGGGGGAGCCCAAAGCAAATTCGTCTTTTGCCACACGACCGTTGTTTACAACATTAAATGTGACCTGTACGATGCAGGTTATGTTGGTTTTACACGCCGCCATGCATCTACATCAACATGTTCAAGAACACGGAAAATCGACTCCATCGATTGGCAGGCATTTTCGCAACAAGCACTCTTTGGCCTTGAGGGATCTTAAAAAGAATTTTAGTGTTTTAAAGAAGAGTACGAACAAATTGGACTGCCTACCTTATGAAATGTTTTTTTATTCAAGAACCGAGACCTGCTCTCAATGTGCAGTCGGACTGAATTCGTGCAAAGGTTTTTAAATAGGCTTTTTTTTAGTATCATGATTGAGATATCACAAATGTTTTCAACTTTGAATCACAGTTAAATGACCAAGAAGTTACATACTTAATATCACACTTGTTTCCATGTACTTAACATTGTTAGGACATCCAAGATACTGTGTTCGAAAATGTAAGTTGAAACACTCAGAGAGAAAATTAAAGAGTCTGTTCAAAGAACACTACGCTTCTGTTTCATACACGAAAATTTCTTGAAAAGTTTAGGTTGCATAAGCTCAAAAAAATGATTCATACTCTAAATTGAAATGGAATACTTTTAGTCCCTTGGAGCTCTTTGCGAAACTCAGCCAGTTTCTCGGTGGAGAAACCAAAATTAGCAATAAAATTAGAGCTGTTGAACTGATCTCCATGAGTAACAGCATCTTCTAGGAACAGCATCCCTACCTTGCCAAGTTGATCATCATTGCATCATTTTCTGTTTGCATGCTCAAAGTATTTCAAATAGCATAAAGAGCTTGGATTATAGACTTTGCTGATTTGCTGCTTCCATAACTTTTAGGAGAATTTTGCTCCAGCGCATAAATCAAATCTAAGTCTCGGATTGCTCCTTAGTCTCAGAACTTACTTGAGGAAGTCACCGTTCTGTTGACTAAATTTATATCTGTAAACCTTGAAGATCATAATACTCAGAAAGCAGCGAAAGGCTTAATGTCGACTTTCATTCCCTTTGGCAAGTCCCTTTGGCAAGTCCCTTTGGCAAGTCCCTTTGGCAAGTCCCTTGCAAGAAAAGTCAATGCCATTTTTCCCTTGGCCACCTTGAAAAGCAATGCCAAATTAATTTCACATGCTGCCTGTGATTGGTCATGCAATATTCTCCTTCACTGATTTAGCAAAATCATAGAACTAGTTGGATTGTTTCTAATGTTGACTGGCCATTTTTAATTGAGAGCTTTGCTAAGAGAAAATCTTATTATTCATATTAATAATAGTTATCTATGCATAACAGAGCAACCCAGTAGTTGGTGCCAGAAGAATGAAGCAATAACTCTTTGAATTCTTTCTCACGAGAATTACAACAAAGTAAACGGTAGAATTTATTTTCTCCTTTTTGTTGAGCGTCGCATGCCATATAAAAGTAGCACTATTGTTCCAAAAAGTCGGGTTAGCTGGCCACTTTCAGCCCTGCATAGGAAGGTTTGTGCAAATTTATATGCTATTGTTTACTTTTTCCAGATCTCAGAAATATGAGACATGAGTTTAATGAATTTGATTTATATTTGATTATTAATGGTTATGTCTCTAATACGTACCTGCCACAATAAGCTGCACTATACTTCGAACATGCCATCCCCACATTTCACATTTAAATTTGGTATTATCTCCAGGGTTGATGTTCTTGATAACCAGGGTAGCTCTTCCTTCAATTTTAACTCTTCCTTTATAAGATGAAGGGATAGAAGGATGTTCTTGCACACCACGACTGTCCTTAAAAATCATTTTGACAAATGCACTATTTACCAGAACACTGTAGACAATGCCCTGAGTTTTATTATGTGGATCAGTGTAGTCCCACACCAGGTTGGCATTACTACCATTGTTAAAGTAGCTTGGATTTGAAGGTTCCTGGGTGAAACCCACATCCACACCCCCTAAAATAGACAACCATAAACATTATATTCTCAGCCCTTTAGTTACATGTGTAAGGATAATATTTAGGAAAAAGGGCTTAACATAGAGTTCACCACAAAGGCACTTTTAGAGTAAACAGTAACAACGTTAGGAGTAAATATGCACTATATTGGTATTCACTGATATCAATCAGCTCGAAATTTACTTTCTGTTGCTAGGATATAAGGTTCAATAACAGTAGTGTGTAACTATCTGTGCCTTTTGAAAATCATTTTTGACAAGTTGCACTTTCTTTAATTTCCAGACTGTGTTCAGTGGTCAGTGGAACACTTGAAGAAATATTTTTTTAAAAAGAACTTATCAAGGTGAAAAATGGAAAGTAGACATGTCCACACATATTATATGTATCTTAAACCATTGAATGGGGGATTTATTATTCCACTCATTTCATTTTCTAGTCTTTTGGCTTCTTTTTTTGAAAAGTTGTATGGTCTTATCTGAGCATCCTGCCCATCAAATAAGATGTACATGAAAGAAGAAAACAACAGAAATTAAAGAAACCATTTAATGTTCTCGGTGACCAGGACAAAATTCTTATTGGCTTTAAAGTTCACTGCTGAAAAAATCATGTCTAAAAACTGAAAAAAAAAATAAAAGATCACATGCTTCACTTCTGTCCCTATTCTTGCCCTGTTCTACAGTGTATAACCAAGGTATATTTAGCATGTTCCATTGCCCCAACAAGGTAAAATAACATAATAATGAATAAGAATTAAGAAATATTTGCTTAAGGTGGAGTGAATATTATTTATTGATCTTCCCTTCACCTTCAACAAATAATTGTTTAAGTATACAGTAATTGCTCAGGTGCTTTCAAATTCTATTATAAATTCTGTAAATAAAGAAAGCATAGTCCAGATTTTGTTACAGTTGTGTTGATTACCTGTAACAAGATTAGCGAGAAGTTTTAAGAGGCTTTTTGCATTCGATCAGCAAAAACTTCATCCTTTTGTTTAATCAAGTGATCATTTAATATCTTTTGTGCTCTTCACAGTTTAATTTTCTACTACTGCTTTTATCCCTTCCTCACAGATATTTGACATATTGCAAGGCAGCCATTTTGAAATTTAGTGCTCTTGCTATAATCACCCACACCCTGGTGATTATAGCGAGATATGATGCAATCCTTGACCAATAAGGGATTGCGCATCTCTATAATCACCTGAGCAATTATACTAATGGTATTTAATCACTGAAGTCTTCACATAACACAAGTTAAAACAACAACAACAGCAAAAACAATGCAATGATCAATCATGTCATGTGTGGACCATAATGCTTTCTTATCAGAGTCAGAATCTAGAAATTTAAGTCTTTTGTACTGCCATTTTGGAGGAGATTCTACTGAATGTTAGGAATTGATCAAGCAAAGATTTTGACAAAGATTGCGATCAGTTTGCATGAGGCGAAATCAGAGAGACTTTCACCAATTTTCATGAAATCCAGCTTTCTCTGACATTATCTTCATAAATTAATTTAACTTGTTTACACCAACAGCTGATTTCTTGTTTTTAACCTTGAAGTCATGATCCTACAGTTGTACGCACCCAGCAAACATTGCTGCCATTCACTTTCATTCACTTTGGCAAGCCCCCACACCACAAAGGCAAAACTCTCACTTGTGAGGAAAACCAACTGACCTATCAGAATTTGTGCAGCTCATTACAAATCAATTTTTTTTTTTCAAATTTAGCTTGAGTAAATCTCAGTATGTATATTATAAGCCCACATATATACACACATTTCAAAAACTTTAGTCTTAGTAAAACTTTACCTTTTTCTAAATATACAACAAAAATAAGTAGCCCATGATTGAAGGTGTGGGATACCACAACCATATGTGCATAAAGCTTAAAACTGGTCAATTCAATAAACAATTCATACATGTAGATAATTGAGCAAAGAAAAGCTCAATTATCCAACCAAGTGCATTATGTAGTTTCTTTACATGATTGCTACCTGGAGGAAAAATCACACTCAACTTAGCTAGCAGCAAATATTCTTGTTGAGGTCATTCTTTGAACCAATAATGAGTGGAAAATTGTTAACAACTCTTCCCTATGATGAGTAATGGATGGCAATTAAGGAAGAGAGTTTAGGCACAGATGGCAACTCTTTCCTGGGTTTCCACAGCCATCATGTTTGTAATGGAAAGCCACCTGACAAAGCAGGAACGTTTCTCATGGCTAAGAAGACGAATCACACTAATCAAGATTATAGTGCACTTCTTAGTTTCAATGTTGATGTTATATTCTGAACGTATGGTATTGTTACACTTTGAAGCATAAAATCCTAATTGTTGTTGATTTTTATCGCATCATAGTTATTTAGACTTCATTTATCACGTCATTGAAATTCCAACATCATATCTTAAATTTAAAATACATCAATACATTTGACAAACATCACGTTCAGAAATTAAGGGTCGGCGTTTTCGGTTTCTAAGCTTAAAATAGCACTTGGTAAAAACACTGTAACATCCTTTGCAGGAGAATAAATTTCACAATTACCTGACCCGTGAAACTTTACCAGCAGAAGAAAGAGTAAGTAAATTTCATAATCACGAACAGACACCATCTTATCAGACCTTCGCTAATGCGTCAATGAGGCAGGTTGCGCCTAAATCTTACAAAACTCCCCTGAAGGGATAGAAGAAAAGGCCCCTCTTCGCTTTGAGACTGGGACCGAGTGTCACGATCACCCTCGTGAAATTGTCGGCCGTAGTCGGCAAAATTGCCTAAACAACATGGCGGATAGTGCAATTTATGGAAGAAAACTCGATCTAACCTATACACTTGGAACATTTGCATGAATTGTAGAAACTTTCCTTTCGGAGTAACGTTCCATTCAGAGTAAACTATGTGTGAAACTTACGAATGTGTCGAATGAGCATGACTCAATGGCACCGATATCGATCACGCGCGCGTTATGAAGCTGGATTCTTTTTCAAGGGCCGTATTCCTTGGGCCGGAAACTGAAATCAAGCGGATCACGAGCGAAATAATTACGCAATCCAGACGCGCAAACTCAGTCAGTACATAGCAAGAAGTGCGGGAAAATCAAATCGAATCAATTTTTTAGAGGGTAATTTTCCCCAAGATGACCTCTATCTTGGTATTAGCTCCTTCGTGTATCTTCGAACTATGTCATCTCTAAGACTTTCAGTCTTGTGCCGAAGTAAAATCAGCTGAGAAGCTACTGCACGAACACGAAGTGGAAACAACAACTAGCTTTGTTATGTATTACAGCTACGGTGTTGGTAAGGGTAAGTCTAAAGTCAGTGGGGCGTCTTACATAAACTCTGCTTACGAGAGGGAATGTTAAATGGAGGGATGCAGGGGTGTAGGGGTTATGGGGAGACCAAGAGGGGAGGGGGATCCAAAAAACTTCCAATTGTAGCATTTCATAAAAACCGAAAATGAAATCTACTCTTTATTCTGATTTTTAGAGCCAGGTGTGTAGTCAGGACGTGAAATTGCGCCTAATACAGGCGCCAATGCGCCTAAATTTTTCACTTTGGCGACCAAATCCTGAAAGTTAGTCGCCAAATTGGCGACTAGAACGTTTCATCATAACCTTACCAAGAGATAAAGTGAATTAAAAATTTTGCAGAGATAAATCCGCGGCAAACTTCCTCGTTAAGTTTGTTTCCAAAACGTAACACATGCATCTCCATCGATAACTAGACGCCATCTTGGATTTAGATGAGCCTGAACGTTGTATATCATCCATCCTAGTGTCCACTTTGTAGCACGTTAATTTTGGAGGGTCTATCTAGAACGCTGACAGCGTAAAGAGAGATTTTGTTTGTCTTTGAAAATGGCGACCAACTTTTTTTTGAATTGGCTACCATTTTGAAGAATTTAGGAGCCAAGTGGCTATCAGAAAAAAAAAGTTAATTTCACGCTCTGGAGTTCACTTAATTTGTTGTTGTTGTCGTTGTTTGCTTTTTTTTTTTGCAAAAATTGGAAAAATGGAATAGAATAAAACATGAAAGCACCATTGAACTTCAATGGCTTAAATTTGGTGGTTAGCCTGAAAAAAGGGGTTTACATGTGGTTTTCGAAATAATTTTTTAATTGATTTAATAAACATTTATTGAAGAAACATTTGTACAGAACTAAACTTACATTACATTAATCTACTTACATTACTCGACATCACTCTACTTATTACATTACTGTACTTATTGGATTAGTCACCAATACGTATTTCTTACTTATACTAACGGTCACTTACTAACAGTCACTTACAGCGTAATCATTGTTACTTACATTGATTACTAAACAGAACATGACTTACAATACATTACAATACAAAACTCGCAATTCGTTAATTAAGCTCACTCGCCTACTTATAATTACTTGAGTACTTTACAAAACGGCACCTTAGTTACTTTGTACGAACACTACAGAGTAAATTAAGAGACAGTGCTGGTAGAAAAAAAAGGTAAGATTTTGGGCTCTGATTTAGTATGTCTGTTTCAATTGGCTAGTTAAATCAGAAAAAAAAGGCTTCGTGGGGAAATCTTTAATTTAGGGAAGAGCGCATTTCTCTCTTTGCCATTGTAGTATAGCGTGTTTGGTTTCTTTTCTAAACATTTAGAAGTGTAAAAGTATTCTTTTAGAATAATGACGAAAAGATGTAGTCTGCGCCTTGGGTAATCGGTTTGGTGAGTTAAACGTGGGATGTCGTTAAATAAGTTATTAGTTTACTTGAAATTATAATGTCGGTGTCATTTTCCTGGTTGAACCATGATATAGCTTTCGAGTAAAACGCTGTTGTTACTGTACAGTCTAAAAACGCATGTTCTATAGAGTCTGGTCGGAAACAAAGAGTGCACTCTTCATCCTCAAGTAGTCTGAATTTAAAGAGCTCCTCTTTGGTCATTATTATTCTGTACAGTAACCTGAACAAGAACTGTCTTAATTTATTATCCTTTG